CTTCCTTCCTTCCTTCCTTCCTTCCTTCCTTCCTTCCTTCCTTCCTTCCTTCCTTCCGTCTTTTTTGCTTGTATTAACAATGCCATAAAGCTACTGGTTGATTAAGTAACAGAAGAAACTCAAAGGGAAGAGCCCAGACCTTGAAACTCAATGCTGCACTATAGAAATTGTATTTTCAATTTCAAGAATTTTAAATTTATGTCTGTGAACATTTTGCTTAGTGATGGAGGGAAAATTGCTTCTATCACACTTTGGCTATGTCAGCAGATATGATCTGAAAACAATCCTGCACGTGGAAAAACTGGAAAACGATTAAAGGTCGTCTATGGGGACTCAGGAGGTGCATCTTCTCTGTAGCAGTGCCTGACCTCTGGAATAAGGTCCCCCCCCCCCCGATCCAGATGACCCTCACTGTGTTGTTGTTTAGAAGAGCTGTGAAGACCTGGCTCTTCATCCAGGCCTTTGGCCAGGGAGAGTGAGACCTCCTTGCTTTGTCACGATTGCCATCTTTTATCTTTATCTTTTACTGTAATTTCTTTGTTTGTTGCGAGCCACCCAGAGTCACTGAGGGTCGGGTGGCATACCAGTCTAATATATCATTATTAGTATTCCTCTTTTCTGAAGCCAAGCAGAATTGCTCTTGAAATTCATGCTTCCCTTTAAGTGCCAACACGGTACCCACCATAGTATCTCAAGTTTTGCTCTCCTGAATACTTCAAGCTATTCTCTCTTTCATGAACATATTGTTCAGTATGTTAAAGAATCAGAGGACAGAAGAGAAGGCACACCAGACTTGAGCTGAGCGAAGCTGCACATTTTGTTGGACAAAAACTTGCAAGTTGAGAACTCCATACATGTGATTTCTTTCCAGCCGCAGTTACTGATAGCCCGATTCACATGACCTGCTATTTGTGCCCCCTCCAGCCCCCAAGATACACTCCAGACTGGATTGCCCGCTAAAGCTTCCTTAAACGTACCCAAACTTAAAGGCGTCCGCTACTTTGAATCCGTAATTAGGAATCAAACCTTTAAATTGCATGAATCAGCCTGCCTCTCAGAGCATCCAAGTCCCCTTCTACCTACTCTCACAATCAGGAGCAGCAAAAACTTACCCAGTACCATTAAGACTGTAACTGAGGTGGTTATAAATAAATATTTACAAAGAAGCAATCTAGTGGCTCTGAGGGGCCTCGCTTCTAACAAATGCATTTTAATTCAGGCTTTGATTGTTTTTAAGAAAGCAAATGAGCTACAGTACAGACTATTTTACTGCATTGGATATTGCTCTCCTGGAAGAGTTCCTACTTGTGCACTCCTAAATACGCCTCAGGCAGAGAAGACGTCTTGTTCTCATGCTCCCCACCACCAAAATGTTGCAATTTTAGATTTATCTACTCTGTTCTCACCCCTCCTTTACACAACACGTCCAGTCAAAGTGCAGTTAAAAAGTACAGATACGCATGTCATATCCGTCTTCTCACACTGGGAAAAAAAAAAGCCAGCCTATTCTGTAGAGTTTGTAGCTCAGGGATCTGTGCAAGGGTTCCTGCACCAAAGCCAGGGGTAGAAAGCTTTTGGGGCAAGGCTTGTTTTTACAGGACACTCACAGAAAGGCACAAATGGAAATGCCTTTTCTATTGGATAAGGATGGTTCCTAAGGTCTCATGGTTAATTGCTAGTCTCCTGAACACGGTTCCAGGATTTATTTATTTATCAAATTTATACGCCGCCCATCTCCCCCAGAGGGTGACTCTGGGCGGCTCACAATTAAAATAAATCCCCAAAACAGCTAAAAATATAAATATCCACATTAATTTAGCTAAAAAGTCTAACTATATAAAGAGACCATATACATAAAAAGGCTAAAGACCTTAAAAGGATTCAACGACTACTCCAAATTACCTCTGAAGCACATCATTGTCTTCCCTGGCCAATGTTCTGTACTGTTAAGCATTCAGGGGAGCAATTGGGAATCTGAGTATTAATTAATCTGAACCTGAAATGGTACCAAGTTGGAGGTAAACAGTGTGCTCTGAGCCAAGCTCCTCATAACCGTGAGCAAGTTTCAGACAGGATATTTTTCCCCTGGCAGTTTGGAGTGCTTTCAGAGGAAAGGTGGTTTCCAGCAGGAAAACAGAAAGGGATGTTCCCTTACAGCACGCTTGATCCACGTCACCCAGATTCCCTTTAGAAAAGTAAGAATATTCCACTCCACTCCCTTTTTTTTTGCAGCCTCTGGACTCAGTTATGGAGAAACGGGGAGACTTCATGCACCTGACAAAGCAGGCCTAGCCCTTGGACGCCCATCTCAAAGGATATGCCACCTCTTAAGGACCCTAATTCCAGCGGTGGCGAAGAATGCCAGCCTTTTCCACGGAGGCCAGGAGAAGCAGGTCTGATCCCTGTCTCAGATTTAGCCCCATTCTGGTGTTCCCGCTTGGGGTGGGTCCCCCTTTTTCCTACCCAGGCAGGATCCCAGGGTTTATTGGCAAAACTGAAAACTCTGAGCGGGCGGAGAACAGCTGGCAAGCCCAAGGCCTGCCGGACTCCTGGCCCTGCCCAGCTGGAAAAGGCCTTCTGTGCCTTCTCAGAAACCTCACAGCGTGCCTAGAAAGGAGCAAACCCCGTGAACCCCTTTTCTCACGTCATGCACACAAGGAGCCCTAACCCGACCTTCTGTTTCTCCCTGCAGGCCGGCATCCGTGCCCAGAAGCACGACTGCATCACGCTGCTTTTCACCCCTCCCTCAGCAGCGTCTCCATGCTCAGGGGCACGCCAGCCCGCTTTCTTCCTACCCAGGCCTGGAACACGCTTCCCTTCCTCCTCCCTGCTGCCCTTCTGTCCGTGCTCAGAGGCAGCCCAACGCTAGTTTTTTTTACCTTCCTTTGGCGCTCCAGCCTCTTCTCCTGCTCCCTTCCCTCCATGCACAGATGCACTCTTAACACCTCCTCTCTTCCTCTCTGGGCGCTCCTTGCACGCTCAGAGGCACGCCACCTCTCCACTCCTCCGGTGGCTTTACTTGCACGCCCAGAGGCACTCTTAAAGCCACCCCTCCTCCCCTCCGGGGGCTCCCTCCATGCTCAGAGGCACCCTTAACACCTCTATTCTTCTCTGGGCGCTCCTTGCACGCTCAGAGGCACGCCACCTCTCCACCCCTCCAGTAGCTCTCCTTCCATGCCCAGAGGCACTCTTAAAGCCACCTCTCCTCTCCTCCGGGCACTCCCTCCATGCTCAGGTTAGGCACCCCTAACACCCCCTCTGGGCGCTCCTTGCACGCTCAGAGGCGGCCTCCCGTCCTCTCCGGGCACTCTCCCCATGCTCAGAGGCCCCTGCGGGGCTCCCTCGCTCGCTCACCGCCAGGCGTGGTTCCGAAGAGGGTGCCGCCGGGCGTGGTGCTGTAGTCCCCCGGAGGCAGGGCGACTCCCTCGGCCAAGCCGAGCCGCT